ATGCCAAGGAGCCAACCGTGCAAATATCTGAGTGAGGAACATGACCAAACATCAAATCCAAATGATAATGCATCGATGAATTATGAATTGATGAATTGTAAATTTCTGGTGATCTCTGGCATTGCTGGTGCCTGTTAGAGTCCACTCAGATCTTAAACTTCCCATTCTCTTTCATGGAAGGATTAAATTTGTCTTGTGCCAAGTTATCTAATATTCTAATATCACTTCTCTCTTGCACCCTACTACTACTGGTACAAAAAGGGTTCAACGGAAGATGGAGGAACAAATAGGAACAACCTTGAAACTGAGAGAAATAGGGTGAAGGAAAGCCGCATGCACCCAGTGCTCCCACGTGAGTCTGTGCCTGGTTCTGCAGCACAAAGTAGTCAGGTCACAGAGCTCATTTTGATAAAACAGTAAGATAGGATTCATCTTGTATCTTTCAAGTAACCAGAGAAATAAACTTAAGTGGGGCACCTGGGTGGCTCAGGTGGTTAAGTATCCAACTCTTGATTTTGGCTCAGGCCATGATCTCATGGTTCAAGAGATTGACCCCACATCAGGATCTGTGCTGACAGCGCATAGCCTGCTTGGGATTCTGTCCCTCTCTTGCTCTTAAAATAAATAAGTGTTTGGGGTGGCAAAACACACAATCCTTATTCAAAATCCAGTAATAAATGGTACACAGAAGAGGAAGACAGGCAATATAAATGTAACAGATCTGTTCTCACCAGAGGTTCTCTTATTTTTTTTTTTTTTCATCTGTCCTGCAGGAAATGCTTTTTACTAACTTAATGTTACCAAACTTCACTAATGCATGTACCTGGCATAGATAGAACTAGTTCATGATGACAAATATTACAAGAGTGGTTACCATGGGGTAGGGTTTAATTAGGAGGAAGAGAGAGCCTTCTGAGATGCTAGGAACACTAGATGGTAATACGGATTGGCAGTCACACAGTGGAAACCTGTGTATACAACTAAACACTTAAGATTTCCGTACTCTCCTGAAAAAAGTAACACCTTCATAAGAAGTAAAAGATATTTGTCATATTTCTCTAATGATTATGCTATTTTCATATTTCATTAAATAGCTTTTTAAAGCTCAGAGGAATGAAGCCTTCATTTGACCACCTTAATTGGGTAGATGTTGTTAGAGTACTAAGCATGAAGACAGGCATACTTTATTTTATAGATGTTATTTTTTTAACATTAATTTTTATTTTTAAGAGACAGAGAAAGAGCATGAATGGGGGAGGGGCAGAAAGAGAGGGAGACAGAATCTAGGCTCTGAGCTGTCAGCACAAAGCCCAACATGGGGCTCAAACTCACGGACAGCAAGATCATGATGCGAGCCAAAGGGAGATGCTTAACCGACTGAACCACTCATGCACCCCTGTGTATTCATTTCAATCAAATCTAAAAATTTACACAAGCTCATTCTAGATCACACGAATGACCAAACAACTTTACCATCAAGTATAGCCGCCTATATCCTGGAGTTAAATGCTCAAGTAACACCTTGAGACACCATTTATTGTCTGGTTGCCATTTACTTGGCATTGTTGTCAAACTCCTGTCCTATTCATGCACAATTGGACTACATTATGTGGTAGTTTAAGCTTAGTTTGCCAAAAGTATATAAGATTTTGAAAAAATATAAAGATATTTTTATAAATTATTTTAATTTCTAATCAAAACCTATTTAGAATTAGCATTATTAGCTACATTAGGGATGTAAATGTGTATAATGAAAACACAAGCTTCACTAGATTTTGATAAGAAATGACATCTCCGAATGTAACAGTAATGGTAGTTAAATCAAGTCAGGACCATAAATGACTCCAAAGAACTGAACAGCAAAAGAGATTTGTTAAAAATTTTACTCCTGGAGTGTCTGGATGGCTCAGTTGGTTAAGCATCTGACTTTAGCTCAGGTCATGATCTCATGGTTCGAGGGTTTGAGCCTTGCATCAGGCTCTGTGCTGACAGCTCAGAGCTTGGAGCCTACTTTAGATTCTGTGTCTCCCCACCCCTCTACGTCCCTCCCCGCTCGCACCTTGTCTCTCTCTCAAAAATAAACAAACATTAAAAAAGTCTTTTTAAATTTTTCTCCTAAGTATGATTCCTTGGGCTTAATTTAGTAACCATAATTGATAGTGAAGTAATAAAAAACATGTTATTTGCAGAAATGTACTGGCTAATACAGCAAACAGGATCATAAAAACTTAACTAGCATTAATTTAAAAAGAAGCTCAAAACCAAAATAATTTGAGTATAGACCTTAAAACTAATAGAAGTACCTAATGTTTTGATTATAAACGTTATTACTTTTCATAAATGTTATTACTTTTCAGTCTTCCCATAAAGTATTACTTCAAACCGCTAAGATTTAAAAGAATAATATAATTACTAAGATATTAGTGAAAGACACTATCAAACATGTTTGCTTAGATTAGAAATGTTCAAGTATCACTTTCACTACACCTCTGAACACATAAGGAACTGCCTGCCTAAGGATATGGAAGACTGAACAATAAAAAAGCTAGTATTTTTCATGACAATGATCAACCGAAGGAAGACAAGCCCTGTTTGAGAATATTCTTTGAGACAAAGAGTATGTGAGACAAAGCAGAGAGTATGTTTCAGCCATCACAGAGTGAGAACATCTGTTCCCTTCTGCCCCTTCCTTACTAAAATCTAGAAATAAGATAACATAATAGGATGAAAGAGGTATTAAACTCCCAGAAGAGAAGAGATGGCAACACAAGATTATGGAAGCTGGAAAATAAATGCATGGTTTCTAACAGTCTCAACAGGTGGAGTACAAGCTCAGAAGCTCAGATTTGGGATAGTCTGAGTTATCAGGCAACCAATTAAACATGTCAAGTAGTCAGCTGGATATGAGTTCAGGGGAAAGAATTCTGGCTAGAGATATAAAGAAATCTGAGCCATCTACTTAAAGCAGTAACTTAAAGCAGTATCTTAAAGCAGCTAAGATCATGAGCCCTAAGCTCTGCTTGGGACGTTCTAATGTCTAGGGGTCAAAGACATAAAAAAGAAATAGCAAAGGGGACAAGGAAGAATCAGAGAAGTAGGAAGGAAAACCAGGCCAATGTGTTCGCTAGAAATTAGCAAACTAAGGACATTGTTTAGGAGGTTACACTGTAGCTTAAAGACCAAGCAAACTGAGGTGACAGACCTCAGTAAGAACTGTTCCAATGGACAGAAAGGGATGAAAATCTGACTGGAACAGATCTAGGAAAAAAAAATGGAAGAGGAGAAACAAAAATAATTGTCTGTGTTGTATGAATTTTGTTTAGATTTGATTAAAATGAATATGCACATAAAAGCTAAAATTCTTGAGCTATGTCCACAGATTTCATTATGAGAAACACAGCCCTATATCATCAATTGTAAATACAGACAATTTTTCAAGGAGCTTTTTATAAAAGAGAAATGAGGCATTTCTGTTGGCTCCAGACAGGAGGATATATCCATAGTAACAGGAAAGGAGGCCTCATGAGCACAGATGCTGGTAGATTCACAGGTGCAGTGGTAGCAACTTTTGCAAGTTCTTTTCTGATTATTTCTATTTTCTAAGGGCCAACAGGGAACAAGATAAGAGGGAGGGGGGGTTACATCTTACAGATGTAAGAACAGAAGTAAACCCATGAAACAGTCACTGGAAAATGTAATCCTGTAACCTGAGCCTATATCCAAGTTAAATGCTCAAGTAACACCTTGAGACACCATTTATTGTCTGGTTGCCATTTGCGCAGCACTGTTGTCAAATTCCTGTCTTATTCTTGCACAATTTAGAACAGACTAGGGAAACTTAGTAGAACTACTAAACAACCAAGTTACAGGTATGATTAGCCAGCATGACCGACTGGTAAACATTCCCACTTAAAAAACACACCTGCTCTGTAGTCTGTTCATTTGAATATTCTCTCAGAACAATTTTCCTTCTAAGTCCTAGTTCGATTACCCTAAGGCAGAGATAATCTAATCTATATTGAATACAATAACATTTTCGCGAGAGACAAACAACCTACACAGAAATGTATGGTTCAGGGAGCATTCAGGACCTCTCTTCCTTACAATCTGACATACAAGCCCTAAATTGTTCCCATTTTGGCCTTTATATTCCTCTACTATATACTATGAATTTCATAGGAATTTCATTCCTACATCTTGTTTTCTTCTCTCTGGTACGATTTACTCCTCCTACTAATATATACATTTTCAAGGTCTTTGCTCTCGTTATATTCTTGTTTTGCACAATATATTACCACTTTCAACTTCTGGCTTTTTTGGTCAAGACCCTACAGTTTCTCTGAGAGCCTTCTCTGCATTAACCAATGTCCAGTTGTAATCTTCATATGACGTATGTGTATAGTACTACTAATGAATAAAAATCAAGTCAACATAATAATACTGAGTCACAATGCCAGTCCAGACTTCTGCTATTACTTCACCTGAACTTATTTTCCTGGGGGGGGGTGGGGGGTTGGAATCTGAGATCATCATATAACAAACATTTATTTGGCGATTTATTTTATAGAAATAGACTCTAAAACCAAACAATTTCTTATTTAAACACCAGAAAGCATAATCCCAATCATTCCCCCATCAAAAGCCTACTCCATAAATGAAGTACCCCAAACCCATGAACTATACTCCTAAAAGGGGGGAAAGACTTTAAACTTCCACAGGAAGACTGTATAAATCTGGCAATGGTTAAGTACACATCAGCCTGTACCCAAGAATATTACCGAGCCCAAAAAATTAACGGAAAAATCTAAACTTACTATGAGTACTTCTTTGTTCTTAATAAGGCTCAGAAAATTACCATCTATTAATTATGCAATGGTACAAGTTTCATTATGTAAACTGATACAACCAAAAAAGTAAAGCGGATAATCTGGATTTTAAAACCAATACAGGTAAATCACTAGATGTAAACAAGAACTTTAAGGGCAGTCTTTAGTTCCAATTTAAAACAAACATTCAGGACTGGAATCCTCAGAATTTTCTAGTATCTTGAAAATCCCCATCTTCTCTTTAATCGGTCCTGAGGCATTCATTTGATCTAAGAGAAAAATACATAAATGTTTTTTATTTTTTTAAACAAGTATTTATTTTTTAAAAAGTATAAGAACCTAAAAAAGAATATTAAAAGAAATGTCCAATATGTTGTTATGAAGAGTCATCTGTCCAAAACCTAAAAAACCACAAAAATGTGAGCCACTTTATTCCTCAATCATTAATAGTCAATGTAACAAAAGCCAGAAAGTAAAATGTGCTCTTAATATAATGAGAACTGGCCTCCAAGGAACAAATTATCAGTTTGCTAATCAAAATCACTTCTGTTGAATTTAAGATATATTAAGTATAGGGAAACAGTGTGAATTACATTTTCAGAAGATGTCTAAAAAATACCAAAAGCCTAATATTTGTTAAAGGCTGGAAAGCATGATACCATGAAAATTTATCTTAATATACACCCCAGCTGATAACATGTGGTCTTTTACATTTTTGTCAATGATAGCTATGGAATGAAATCTCTACTGGTGTTGAGTGGCATTACTCTGATTTCTTAGGAAGCTAAAGCATCTTTAATATGTTCCCTGGCCACTTTCCTGCCTACTCACGTTGTCCTTTTCTCTTGTTGACTTTTAGTTATCTATATGTGATAAACACTTCCTTATCTGTTAGGTGTTGCAAATATATTTCTGTGGTTTGTCTCTAATCTGTCTACAGTATCATCTGCTTTAAAAAAATTTTTTAATGTTTATTTTTGAGAGAGACAGAAAGAGAGAGATGGAGACCCAGAATCCAAAGTAGGATCCAGGCTCGGGGTTGTCAGAACAGAGCCCGATGCAGGGCCCAAATCCACTAGCCATGAGATTGTGACCTGAGCTGAAGTCCGAAGCTTAATTGATTGAACCACCCAGGCACCCCAGTATCATCTGTTTTTATACAAGTCTTTAATGTAATTAAATCTATCAATCTATAAATAAACAAACATTAAAAAAAATATTTTCCTGTCCTAAAGTCATACATGTATTTTCCTGTATTTTTAAAGTTTTGCTTTTAACATTTAGGTTCTGACCTGTTAATTTATTTACAATTTGTTCTTGAGTGTGGTATGGTGTCCTAGCTGTTGATTAGAAATGTCCTGGGGCATGCTTAACAGACTGAGCCACCCAGATGCCCCAAAACTATAAAACTCTCAAAAGAAAACACCATGACCTTGGCTAGGCAAAGATTATTTACACATGACACCAAAACAGTAAGTGGTAACAAAAAAAGATAAACTGGACTTTATGAAAATTAAAAAGTTTTGCCCTTCAAAACACACTAATTAAGAAAGTGCAAGATAAGGGATGCCTGGCCAGCTCAGTTGGTAGAACATGCAACTAACTCTTGATTTCAGGTCATGAGTTCGAGCCCTATTTTGGGTGTAGAGTTTAGTTGGGGGGGAAAAAAAAAGCATCCAAGATAAGCTATAAACCGGGAGAAAATATTTGCAAAACAAATATCTGATAAAGGACTTGTATCTAGAATATATAAAGAATTCTTCCAACTCAATAACACAATTTTAAGAAGAGCTATTTGAAATGAAGCTGAAGATATCACGAGACTATATGCAGTGATGTGCTTGTAAATGTTCAACAATTGGCTTCCCGGATACCCTGCCCCATCAAAAGGCCCTGGATTTGTAGTTTTTCCCTATTTCCACGGTATTAACATATTCCTGCCTTCACCAATACCACACTACCAACATAACAGTGCTGAAGGTAGGGGTGGGAAAAGATGTGCAGTAGTATAGCTTTATACAGTATTTCCCCTACGCAGTTACAATACACATAATTGGGCATAGATTACCAGTAGGTTATGAAATAATTAGGGAATGATGAGTTTTAAATATATTTGTTTTCAAAATAATTTATGGTCACCAATGTAGGCATCAACTCATTATTCTAAAAACTGAAAAACAGAAGAAGCAATTTATCCTGCTTCACCTGTATAAACTATATCTCAGAATAACCAGAGTTGGTAGGGCAAAGTTCTTAATAGACTCATTCTGGCTAATAAAGGAAAAACAAAACAAGAAAATCACCATTTTGCAATCCTTAAGGTAATAATTGTTCAAAACAATCATCAGTGGATACTAAAATCATCAGGCTTAATAAAAGACAGAAAACTTGGTAAGATCAGCCTGAATGACCTGACCAATCTTAGCTCACTAAAAATAAGAAACCCAGAAAAGTACTTCCTTGTAGGATTTAAAATATGACAATAGCTATTTGGTCTCAGCTGGTGACATACCATCTAGACTAAGGAAGACCTGGAAACTTCAGGACCAGGTGAACTGCGTCAGCAAACACCAGAAGTACCCAGGAGGCCAGGGTGATGCTGGTGGCATGACCACAGGATCCACTTCAACAAATATCACTGAAGTTACTTTGGGAAAGTTGGAATGAGGCATTACCACTTACAGAGGAACCAGAGCCTCTGCCCACCTATCAACCCTGATAAATGCTCCCCAAAACAAGACTGGAGCTGATTCTACCATTGATGAAATGAAATTGGGCTGCAAACATCCGGGAAAGAGAAAGTTCCCAAAACAATCTGTCATCATGAAGGCTAAACTCTTCAGCGGAAGAGTGGAGAAGGTTACGGGTGTCTATGTGGGGGAGCCTGGTAGCTTAAAACCAGGTGGAGGGAGCTCATTAAATGCTAACAGGTGCTTTTCTCAAAGAGAGAAAGAACAAAGTATTACAAAGTATTCATAAGAAACAGAACCTAGGGGCGCCTGGGTGGCTCAGTCGGTTGAGCAGCCGACTTCGGCTCAGGTCACGATCTCGCGGTCCGTGAGTTCGAGTCCCGCGTCGGGCTCTGTGCTGACAGCTCGGAGCCTGGAGCCTGTTTCTGATTCTGTGTCTCCCTCTCTCTGACCCTCCCCCATTCATGCTCTCTCTGTCTCAAAAATAAATAAACATTAAAAAAAAATTAAAAAAAAAAAAAGAAAAAGAAATAGAACCTAGATCTAATTAAGCCTATAGAGCTATTTACATAGCTATTTATCACTTTTCTGAAAATAAGTAGATTGAGGAACAAATCAACGAACACAAAACGGGTTAAAAAAATCAGCCAATTTCAAAATATAGGTCATTTTATAGGACAACCCACTTTTCCTCTATGACATGCAACAATGAAAGTGAGAAGGATGTTACAGAAGAGTCATAACAAACAATGAAATTTGGATCCTGATTCAAACTGTAAAAAAGGATTTGAGACAACTGGGGAAATCTGACTATGGCCTGGGTAGTAGATGATATCAAGGTTTTAGTGCCAATTCTCTTAAATGTAATGACATAGTGGCTACATTTAAAGACCTGCTCTTCCCAGTAAAAGATGCCTGAGTAAAATGCCTGGGTAAAATGTCATGATTTTAAGATTCTGTCAAAAGAGAATCAAAATGAAAAAAGACTAGTTAAATGTTGTGGACTATTGTGGCTGAATCAATTACATATAGGGGTACGTTAAGTATTACTATTCTCTCTTCTTACATGTCTGTTTCAGTTTCCAGTAAAAGAAAAATAAAAGGTTACTTGCCAATGAGATCACTTCGATCTAGCAACAACTCCAAATCTTTATCACTAATGACCTTCTCTCTTGATCCTTTTACTTCTCTATAAGAAAACAAAATATTCAAGTCCATATGATAAATCAAAACTATGAATTACATTTTTTTAAATTAAAATATCTTACCTTTCATAATCTCTAGATTTTAATAATTCCATTAATTCCTTAGGGTCTAAGAAGTTCTTAGATTGATTTAATCCAGACTGACCACCTTTGAAATGATCTAGAAAAAAATTTAAGAAAATCAAAACATTGAAAATTGCCTTTAAAACCAAAATATACTACATTATAAACCAATCAGAATGGTGTATGTTAAAAAGTATAGGCAAAGTCAAGTGGTGATAAGGAGAAAAGTAATCACAGCTCTCATACTTTGCTAGTAGAAATGTAAAATGGTATGTCTGCTTGGAGAAAAAATTCAGCAGGTTCCTGTAAGTAAACATGCACCCATCCAAAGACCAAGAACAAACAAATGCATGTGTCCATAAACACTTGTACAAGAACAGCTTATTCAGAAAAAACCAAGATCTGAAAAACAACTTAAATGTCAACCAACAAAAGAATGGACAAACTATTAACTTCTAATATAACATAAATGAATCTCAAAATGTTCTGCTGAAAAAAGTAGTAGCTACATACATACAAATGAATCCACATATGAAGTTAAAGGAAAAACTAATTTGTGTCACAAAAATCAGAACAATGGCTGCCTTCTGGTGAGGAACAAGAGAGCATGGAAAATGACTGGTGTAGGGGAAAATGGTTTTGGATGATGGAACTGTTTACCTTGACCTAGAGGATAGTTACACTGTGTGTATTCATTTATCAAAATTCATCAACCTGTACATTTAAGATCTGGTTATTTTACTGTATCCATATTATACCTCAATAAAACACTGACAGTATTTTAAAAATTCTTTTCAAATTGTTCTTTGAAATTAATTTCTCAAAATACTGAAAACAGACTTGGGAAAATAAAACTAGACAAATTTTACTGAATTTAAACTATATTCAATAAAGAAAATATATTTCATCATTCAAATTCCTAAAGCAGCACAGGTGAAAAATTTTTAATTTGCACAAAATCTTCTTAGAAAAGTTCTTTTTTCCTCCAATGTAAATTCCAACTACAATCTGAATGTTCCATGAAGTCAAATTAAAGATTCTAAAACCTAACCTCAATGTCAGATACACTGGAGGAAGTATTTGCAAGTAGAGAGCAAGAAGAAAAGTAGCATAAAATAAACTAATAGTGATTTTTGACATCATGTTCCCATTACTCTAGGCTTCACAACTTAACAGATGTTTTCAACTTTTGTGATGTAGCCATGAAGCCAATTTCTCCAAATAGATTTTCATACTGAATGAATAAAAGCAGAAACTTCTCCAAGGAATCTTAGGGAACAGAATATACAATGCCAATGCCTCACCTACTTCACTTCCCCTACTTCTCACAATCTAAAACACTGTATTTTAAAGAAGATATTTGAAACAATGAAAAGGACATTCTAGAGCCACATATTTTTTGAAATAGCAACTTAAATCAAGTAAATAGTTTTTATAGCACTACTTCAATGTATCCTTAATATTCTAAAATAAATTTTTTTCAATGTTTATTTTTGAGAGAGAGAGAGAATCAGAGACAGAGACAGAGCATGAGCAGGGGAGGGGTACAGAATCTGAAGCAGGCTCCAGGCTCTGAGCTGTCAGCACAGAGTTGAACACAGGGCTCAAACTCATGAACCATGAGATCATGACCTGAGCTGAAGTCAGATGCTCAACTAACTGAGCCACCCAGGCACCCCAATATTCTAATACTTAATATACTGAACTTCCAAGAAGAGGCTTGAAACTTTCTTAAAGCCTTCCGACAGGCAAATCTCTTATCAAGAATAAGCATTAACATCATGTCAGAGATTAGGATATGGCATTTTAAAAGTGTCCTGGATAGGGGTTTCCTTGCCCCTCTGCTCCTCATCTAGACACTAATGTTTTTCCTTTGTGTTTATGGTTACACCAATCTAGTTTAGGTCTTTACAGCTGCAAATTCCCCACTGCTTACTAAAATCCTAATCAAGCTGTACTTATTCATATATTTTTTTATTTTACAGAAAGAGCATGCGCACAGGTGGGTGGGGGAGAGGGGCAGTAGGAGAGACAGCCTAAACAGGCTCCACCCTGACATGGGGCTTACTCCCATGGCCCTGGGATTATGACCTGAGCCGAAATCAAGAGTTGGAGGCTCCAATGACTGAGCCACGTAATCGCCCCCGTACTAATTTCTTTTATAAAGAAATCAGTGGGGCACCTGGCTGGCTCAGTCAATGGAGCATGCAACTCTTGATCTTGGGGTTGTGAGTTCAAGTCCCACACTGGGTGTGAGATTACTTAAAAATAACATCTTTCAAGGGCGCCTGAGATGCTCAGTCAGTTAAGCGTCCAACTCCTGGTTTTGGCTCATGTCATGATCTCACAGTTTATGGGACTGAGCCTCGCATTGGGCTTTACGCTGACAGTGCTACTTGGGATTCTCTCTCTGCCCTTCACCTGCTCATGCTCTTTCTCGCTCTCAAAATAAATAAATACACTTAAAAAAAAATCTTCAAAAATATAATAAGGAAAATATCAGTAACAAAATCCCACAACATACAACAGGCAACTGAAACAAAAAAGTACTACAAAGTATTATTTACTTTTGTGGATGATCAACTTTTCCAGTTTTCTTTTAGCAGCTGCTCTTTCCACAATTTTCTGATCAATAGTATTTGCTGTGACAAGACGATATACAACAACAGGCTTTGTCTGACCAATTCTATGACATCTATCCTGGGCCTGAAGATCAGATTGGGGATTCTTAGAGTAAAAAGAAAAATAACATTTAACAGTTGAATATTAAAGTTACTTAAACTCATAATATGTGGGTAAAGTCACATGCATGCATGATCCAATCAGAATCTTTTAAATAGTGTCTTAAACTCATTTTAGATCTCTAGAATGACTTCAACGATAAAACATGTTCAAGTCTTTACACATAGGGTACTTGATAATGATTTGTTTTAAAATGGGATACCTTTTCAAAATAAAATTGCAAAGCATACAATGAAAGATAAAAAAAAATTCAGAATGGAAATATAATCAGCATATTGCTATACTTTTGACTTACCCAATCACTATCATAAATGATAACTGTATCTGCTGCAGTCAAATTAATGCCCAGGCCACCAGCTCGTGTACTGACTAAGAAGATAAACACCTCTGGATCTGTGTTGAAGCTGTGCATCTAAAAGCAAAAAAGGGTACAGACCCAAGGAATTAAGAAATTATTATTGCCTGGAATATGGATATGGTGTTGCATGTGGAGCAACCATCTTATAACCATGTGTTTATAGCAAAGGCAGGGGGGGAAGGCAATGTCAAGGGATATAATAAGCCAGCATTCTCTAAACTAGGTATGAATTCTTCATTACCTACAGGATTTTTGATGTGGAGTAAAAAAATAATGAAAACCCCAGAAGTCATTACAGTTGAAAAAGACAGGGCACCTGGGTGGCTCAGTTCGTTAAGTGTCTGACTTTGGCTTGGGTCATGATCTCATGACTTGTGGGTTCGAGCCCCATGTCAGGCTGTGCACTGACAGCTCAGAGCCTGGATGGAGTCTGCTACGGATTCTGTGTCTCCCTCTCTCTCTGCCCCTCCCCTGCTCATGCTCTGTCACTCTTGCAAAAATAAACATTTGGGGCGCCTGGGTGGCGCAGTCGGTTAAGCGTCCGACTTCAGCCAGGTCACGATCTCGCGGTCCGTGAGTTCGAGCCCCGCGTCAGGCTCTGGGCTGATGGCTCGGAGCCTGGAGCCTGTTTCCGATGCTGTGTCTCCCTCTCTCTCTGCCCCTCCCCCGTTCATGCTCTGTTTCTCTCTGTCCCAAAAATAAATAAAAAACGTTGAAAAAAAAAAATTAAAAAAAAAAAAATAAATAAACATTAAAAAAAATTTTTTTTTAAAAAGCTGAAAAAGACTAATTTGCTGGAAAGAGGTAAAATTATCAAAGACTTCCTTCCCACAAAATAAATAATTGTAAGCATATCCACTGCCCAAATTAAGACAATAAACCAGGGACTTTAAGAAGCACTCTATCAATTTGATCTTTAGAGGGGCTTGACACTGAGTAGTTCAGTCAGGCCAGTCACACAGGTAGGTCATACCTATGTAACTAACCTTCAGTGGAAACCATGGACAGCAAGGCTCAGATGAGCTTCCCTGGCTTACTTCACATGTGAGGTTACAAATTGTTCCTGAGAGAGCACCTGGGTATCTCCAGTCGGTTAAGCGTCTGACTTCGGCTCCGGTCATAATCTTGTGGTTCATGAGTTTGAGGCCTGCGTCAGGCTCTGTGCTGACAATTCTGAGCCTGGAGGCTGCTGCAGATTCTGTCTCCCTTTCTCTCTGCCCCACCCTCACTCATGTTCTCTCTCAAAAATAAACATTAAAAAATTAAAAAACAAAAATTAAAACACCCAGGTGCCCCTGTTACCTCAATATTCTTACAGTGGTGGTGAAGTAGGATATTATGAAGTAAAGGTGGACCAAAAGACACATATAATTTAAGAATCATTAAGACTTAGCGGTGCCTGGGTGGCTAAGTCAGTTAAGCATCCGACTTCGGCTCAGGTCGTAATCTCATGGTTCGTGGGTCGAGCCCGACATCGGACTCTGTGTTGGCAGCCCAGAGCATGGAGTCTGCTTCAGATTCTGTGTCTCCCTCTCTCTGTGTCCCTCCCACGCTTGTGCTCTGTCTCTCTCAAAAGCAAACATTAAAAAAAAAAAAAAAAATCACTAAGACTTATTATAACTAAAAAATGCTTAGATTTTTGATCCTGTTACAAGGTTTTCAGTCTATCAACTTGTGGGTCTACTCTGAACATTACTTTAGAAATCAAGATATGAATTACAAAAAGGAATTTGATACGTATGACATAAATAGTCTTACATTTTTTTCTCTCTCTGAATAAGACATGGATCCATCAAGCCTGCTGAAGTTGAAATTTCTAAAGTGGCAGTAATCCATCAAAATATCTAACATTCTTGTCATTTGTGAAAATAGCAGCACCTGAAATTTAAATATATCTTAGTATCTATTCTGATTAATAGGAAGTAATTAAATAACCAAAAATCCAATCAAAAGTACCACCTTGTGACCTCTGGATTTTAGTTCTGGCAGCATTCGATCCAAAATTAAGAATTTCCCAGAATTTGTTACCAACTCTTCATCAATCTTAAAAGCAGACAAAGAGGAACAACAGAAAAAATAGTCACAATAATTATCAATAACTTTTGTCAAATAAAATCCAGATGAACAGTTCATTTTAATGACGAATAAGTCCCTATAAAACTAAAATTTTTAAAAATTGACCTTGTTATTTGATCTTTTTAAATAAGAAGATAGTTCTTTCTCAGGGAAAGACACACTCTAGAATTTAAAACCAATGATTTCACAAAAACAAAAATCAGTCTAAGTCCAACCTTGATCTATCCTCCCCACCCCTCTCCCAAAGGCTTTGTTTGTAATAAGAGAACTGTTAAGTTTAAACCTACTACACATGTTGAAGTTTTTCCTTTATAAATGTACTTTCAATAAAATATGAATATTACTGCTAGAATTCTCAGTATAAACATAAGAGCTTATAAGCAACCTAAATATTGAAGAAAATTTTCACCTGGTGACTATTAATTTCCTCATCAGAGATTATCTTCTTCCTTACTTGAATGAAAAACTGTAAAGAAGTGGTTTGCAAATGGGGGCAATTTTGCCCTCCATCCCAGGGTATATTTGGCAATATCTAGAGACATTTTAGGTTATCACAACTGGGGAAAACATATTTGGTACCCAGTGACCAGAGACTAGGGATAATGTTAAATGGCATATAGTTCACAGGCCAGCACCTTGTAAAAAAGATCTGGCCCCAAATGTCAATATTGTCAGGGATAAGAAACTCTACTGTGTAAGCTAGTGTGAAATAGGGTTATTGAGGATTACTAAAAACAGATTTATTTTAATACTATGCCATTTTTCCATCAAGTGCCCAAGAAAGTAATTTCATTCACCTAATCTGAATGCCTGTGACTTAGTAAACTTTTTGGTTCTGTGACTATCTGTTGAGATGTAGGTAATGAGCAGCCAGAATGATTTTGACAAGCTAAATACTAACTAATACTGAAAAGGTGACAACTATCTCTAATAGATAGCAAGTAAAACACAAAGTGGAAATAAATGGTATTAATAGCAAAACAAAACAAAACAAAAATACATCAATAAAACAAAAACTATTTTCACTATCACTCTAAATTTAGGGTGATTCTTAGTGTTCAGATAAAATATGTAAATAGAAATATTTCGCTTACATGTAGAAAGTGACTATCATTCTAACACTCAAAAAGTTCTTTCAATTTTGGGGGAGATGATCTTCACTTACTGGAAGGATTACAATCTTTATATTTTAAGGATTATAATACTTAAGTAATAATCAAAAAAACAAAATGACACTTTCCTTCAATACAAAAAAGTTACAGAAATCAAAACAGTACATTAAATGGTACTGACCTTAAACTCTTGTGTGACCGGGTCTATTGGGTATTCAATCAAATACGGATGATTACAGCATTTACGAAGGAGCATCATTATATTCTGCAGCTTCAGATTAACTTCAGACTCTAGAGGGATATTCGTTTCCACAACAGCTCTACCAAAAACACATAATCCACGAATGTGAGAAATACAAAAAGTATCACAGTTTAAAGGATACTTAAATTTATTTTAAACTCACACCTTTCTCGGTCTACTTCTGGCTGTATTTGACTGATCAATTTTTCCAATTCATTAGGGAAATCATCTATTTTGCTGTAATTTATTGATTTTCTGGAACGCCGTCTTGGTCGTCCAGTGGGACTTAGCTCAACTGTTTCTTTCTAAAAGTGAACAATTAAAAAGGAATATGTTTAAAAAGCTATACCCTTGAATTCTAAATATATACAAAGTGTGATAGAATACTTTTATGTACAAATGTTTTAAGACATAGAAATAATAATTTTGTCTTTCATCATCAACTTTAGTGATTTCCAAAGGCATAAAATCAAGGATCCATAAACTTTCGCCAAGTGCAAATGTGGTCATATGAAGCCTAATTATTTTAACGTTTATGACAATATCTGAGAATTAGAGTAAATGCCTTCATATCTCCATGGAAAAAATTAAGGATAGGTAGAGCTGTTTTGAACTCATATGAAGGAATTTAATAACTTAGGGGCTCCACATATCTGCAATAGAGAGTATTTCTTTGGATTAGTATTAACACTGCAATGAAATTCTTCACAATAAGGAACAATATTAAATTCTGAATAGCTAAAAAGCCAGATCTTCCCTTTAATTATATAATAAAAATTGGGGAACAGTCTAATGGTCGTACAAAACAGAAATGTATAGACCCATAAATATTTTGAAAAGAAATACATAGGTCCATAGCGTATAGTAAAAAAATCTGGACATTTAAACAAAATCTAAGGGTCTTTAACCTCCTATAAAGGGACTATGTGCTGTGTCTAGTTGGGAAATTCTTTTAGTATATTGTGTGCTTGATCAAATGTATTTCCAAGTCCATCGCTCCACAGCATGACTAGGGTTAATCTGGGACAGGAATAAAAAATTTTAACAAGCATTCCAGGTAACGATAAAGCAACTGATACGTGAATCATCACCTGAACTTCAGTAGGATCACAGAATTACTAGGAGACAACTTTTGCTACTGACCTTATGCCTTACACTCCAGTTAGAAATTCACCCTCTACATGTCCTAAAAACAGGTGATAAGCTCCAAGGTTGAAATTAACCACAAAAATTTCAATGCCAACTGTCATTGACAGTTTAGTTCAAATCCACACTCTACCTCACTGCATCCAAACATGTTTGCAATTGTACGGTTCACAATGGCTGTGTAAAAGATCTCTTGTTTCTTTGAAAGCGGTGCATAAACAACTACTTCTCGCTTGGGAGGAACTTCAAGAGCAACATCAGATTTTAGTCTTCTCAGTAAAAAAGGTGTTAGAATCTAAAATTTAAACATGAATAAACATGTGAATATTAAGCATTTCCAAGTTTTCAAGGAATACTCTCTCCACAAACCTCTTTAACCCTTCTTTCTCTTTTCTTCCTATATATATACTATCAAATCTGGAAAGGGGAGATAAAATATCTCCTTGAAATTTCCCCAAACCAGAACACATCCCAAACTCATGGTATTTATCCACAACATTCCAAAATTTAACTTTTCAAAAACTCTTAATATTATCTTAAATATTTTAAAAAGTAGAAAGATGACATTTGTGCCTTTTAGAATTAAAGTGATAACCCACAACATTTACAGTGAGATTTTGGACTAGCATAAAACCAACACACCAACCAACCCAGAGATGTAAACATAAGAGTTTCCTTCTATAAGTTCTAAAATTTCAGGCTTGAAATTATTCTCATTCATCTTCCTACTGTGTGATGTCATGTGATTTTCACATTTATAAAACAACACAGAAGTAACAGGTAATTATATCATTATTAAATTGTTGAGAAGTCTTCAGAAGAATACATAAACTTGTTTAAATAATTTTGTATCCTTTATAGCCTTATCTTGAAATACACATTGATAGCTCATTTACATAAAGAAAGTTCATTTTAGGGCTCTATAGTTGAATATTCCATAGGTACAGAGTCAAATACAAGAAAGGCTTTAAAAGAGAGAATATTACTACCAGTTTAAGAAAAAAGTATCTGTAAATAAGCTGCTCAGAAACACATATACCCATTGCCAAGAAAAAAAAATACAAATGATCTGGTAGGGAAAGTATGATTTGGGATTTTATTGTTACTTTCAATTTTTGTACTGTTTCACATTTTTATCATGAATATGTATAAACTTTAAAACAAAAAAATTACCATGGATTTTGAATAAAATTGTCAATGCACAATTGAAAAGCTTTTTTGGGCTCTCATATGGAAATGACCAGGAGGCCTTTGACAGATTAATGTGTCTAAAGGAAACATAGGTAGGATTGGTGGAAACCACAGAAAACAGCAAAAAAACATTCATAAAAAACATTCATAAAAATCACCCACTTTCATTTTTTGGCTGACAAATATATCAGCAACCATAGGGGAAAAAAGGAATATACATGAGTAGGGCAAACTTTTCACTTGAGTCCTGCTGTAAAGCCATGTGACATCTGGGGGTGAGGGAAGAGAAAGGGAGTTGTTAAATTTGAGGGGTCTTCATTTTTCCAAACCTACTACAAAGGGTTGAACAGGTAATCTGTGGGGTTCCTTTTTTATTCCTAGTAGTCCATAGTAAGCATAATAAGACAAAGTCACACCTGGTGCAGCATATGCAATACATTCTGTTCTCGTTCTTTAGCAATAATATCTTCAGCAGTTTCTGAAAGACTAGTGATATCAAACCAAGATTCAAAGCTGTAAGAGAAAAAAGTGATTACAAGTTAACCTATTACATAAATCAATTGTATTAACATAATTATCACAAAGAACTTGCCAAAAAGCTATCATTTTATTCCAACTACTTAGAAGAAAGGAATTTTAACTAAGAGCACATATTTGAAAAGACTAGAAAAATAAAGAAAGTAGTTCAATAACTAGCTTACCTACCTTTTCAAGTCATCGAATACATCTGGCAACAAAAAGTTCAGTAATGACCAAAGTTCTGATAAATTGTTTTGCAAGGGAGTACCAGTCAAAAGAAGTTTGTTATCTGCATTAAATCGTTTTAACTCCCTGATCAGACGGCATTTCATGTTTTTAATCCTGTGTCCTTCATCTACTATTAAGTATTTCCAATAGCAGTGCTAGAAAAGGAATTTAGGGAAAAACTTTAGAATTATGATCTCACAATTTTTCCTACAAACAATTCTAAAAATAAAACCTCCTTATTAGGGACGGATGTTCAATCTTAACCAATAGCATTTCTGTATCTACTGAGGTGACCATGTTTTCCTTCGAGCTACTGAAAGGGTAGGGTAAGTAAATTTCTAAAACGGGTATATACTTGTGTTCCTAAAATAGACCTCACTTGGCTATGAACTAATAATTAAAGTCCACCTGCTATTATGTATTTAAAATTTCTCTGTTCACATTCTTTAGGCAAAGCAATCTGTGGTTTCCCTGTGTAATACTTTGTCAGGTTTTGATTAGTATTAAACTAGATTCCTAAAAAAGAACTAAAAGCTCTTATTAGTTCCATATGCTCTGAAACATTAAATATCATTATAATTTTCATTCTTGAGGCATACATCTGAAACTGACACTTATTTAATGTTATGGTGTTCTCGATTTTTTACATAATTATTGGTTTATTTAGGTTTCTCTTTCTTCTGGAGTCAGTTTTAGTAATTTGTATCTTCATAGAAAGCCATCCATCTACTTTCATTAAGTTGTCATAAAAATTGTTTTAATTTCTCATTTTAAAAAACCTTGTAGGGGCATCTGGGTGGCTCAGTCAGGTTAAGCATTGGACTCTTTGATTTCAGCTCAGGTCATGATCTCAGGGTAGTGAGACTGGGCCCCTCATCAAGACTCTGCACTGGGCATGGAGCCTGCTTCTTAATTCTCTCTCTCTCTCCCCCCTCTGCCCCTCTCCTTGGCTCCCTCTGTCAAATAACAAAATTTGACCATTAAAAAAAAAAAAAAAAA